AATCTGTATTTGTTGTCTGGACAATGCACAGTTCTGATAATAAATAAGACATTTCAATCTTAAACCTTTTGAATGAGTACATTCTACAAACACATCATTTGTTTCAGAAATGTAAATATTGATGGTGACTGTTGATGCCTTCTAACAGTAAGGTAGAATGCTTATATTCCACTCACTTAAGAAGCAAGTGTTCTCCTTATGGTAGAAATGAACTAATTACTAGAAATATCCACATTCATACTTTGCTGAAAACACACAACACTGAAAGTTAGGTATCAGTAAGTGCCATATGATTACAGTTAATAGAAATGGGGGAGGAGTGCAGTTAGGGTAAGGAGCAAAGCAATTGATTTATTGACCTATAAAATTTGGAGTGTCAGCTAACTTTTAGACTTTCCAATGGCCCTCAACCAGGTCTGTGACAAATTAATCCTATGGGTCATATCAGTCCAAAGACATGTTTTGTATGGTCTGAATTTATTCTTTCAAACCTGGATGAGAAACGTAAAACTCATAACATCACACATTAAAATTCAAATTTATGGCTTTTTTTTGGCAAAATTGGAAAGTGTGGGAATACTGAGCCCACATTCTCAACTGATTGATAATCAGTGAATAATCAATCAGCGGAGACCTTTGAGGTATGCACTCTTATTGACATTGCAGTTTTCATAATTTCTTTCATTAGGGACTTCTTTAAATCACATTGTTCCTTATAATTTGAGATATTAAAATCTATTCAAAGCCTCTGTAACTCTGATTTCTATTTTAGTTTCCTACTCATTAAATCAGTCATTTTCAAATGTCATATATGAAATTAGGTAAAATATATATATTTCCTGGGAATGCCTTGTTTACATGGAATCATCTCAGCTATTTACAATATTATTGAAGGTGATTTTATTTTGCATTTAAAAGAAACATTATGATTTCCCACACTTATATTCATTTGGCTCATTACATTATTAAAACAACAGTGCTAAAATATTATAAAAGTATGTAAATTTCCCTCTTAACACTGTGCATTTTTTATCATATGAGATTGACATATCAACTGCCAATTAATCTAGATAAATGTTTGTTTCCATGTTTTTAAGTATTTCTGATATTTGGCTTCTTAGTTCCTAAAATGTTGATTTGCTGACTCAAAAATAAAGCTTTTATTTTTAAAATTTTAATAACTTCATGTATTGAAAGGTTGCTGCAAATTATGTAAATATCATCTTGTTTTCTAGTAACCTAAATCATTTCTACCCAAAAGCTTTGCATTATATGGTGGACACCAACTTGGAGAGTTGATTACTACATTCTAGTGCTGTCGTAGTAGTTGTGGTGGTGGTTACTGTTTCTAGATTAAACAGATTCTCTTCTTCCTCTGTGTTTCATTATCCCAGTTTAAAACCATAGTATAAGATGACATCACAGTATTGAACTAGACAACTGATTATGATTGCAAAGGGCAAGAACTAAGAAATCAAATGAGGGAACTGAAGAGGCAGGAAATAAATATAAAGGTTCTATTTTTGGCAAACATTCCTTGAATTTATTTACAGACATGTCATCTTTTTATTGCTTTATAATAACTCAATTTAGATGTTAATTTTTTTTTTTTTTAAAGATGGGGTTTCACTGTGATGGTCAGGCTGGTCTTGAACTCCTGACCTCAGGTGATCCACCCACCTCAGCCTCCCAAAGTGCTAGGATTACAGGCGTGAGCCACAGCGCCCGGAGAGATGTTAAATTTCTAATGAAAAAGATGATGTGATGTGTTTTTATTCTTATACTCTTCCTAGGTACGTAACAGGAATTCTATAATGTTTACTGAATAGTAGTTAAATATGAATTAACTCAAAGGTAAAAGAATAGGTTGTAAAAATATGTAAGTGCCTGAAAGGGTGGCTAAATAAATGTATAATTGTTCAGTAGGTTCCCATTGATCTCAGAATGAACATGGAACTGGCCATCTCTATGAGAGATGCAACATCTGCTCCAGCCTGTTCTTCAGCCTTGTATCATTTGTCCCTTCACTTACTGGCTTCTGGCTCCACTCATGACCTTCAACACATGGCACTTCTTTCCACCTTGCAGTTCTTATTTCTTTTCCCTGGAAAAATATTCCCATATTACTTAGTATGTATGGCTCTTTCCCATTTACCAGGTCTCAGCTTGCCTATTACCCTCTTAGAGAGCTCTTCCTTGATCACCTCACCCTATATATAGTGAGATTATCTAGCTCCTCCTCAATTGATTACTTCACAATTTTTTTCTTCCTAGTATTAATATAGCCAGTAGTTATACTGCTTACTTAATTATTTTCTAGCTTATTGTCAGTCTTTTAGATATGAGGCTGCAAAACCCTTAAAGAGCAATTTTCTCTTATTCATCTCTGAATTTGCAGAGCCTGCCACTCTACCACTGAATTAGTAAAATAATAAAGGGTGAGTGAATAAATAAAATCACAAAACGGGCTCTACCTATTGCCTCTTAATGATAGATTTTATTGTATTCTGAGGGGTGTGTGTGTGTGTGTGTGTGTGTGCGCACGCCTGTGTGTTTTCTAATCCTAAAAAAAGAAGTAGTTGCCTTTGGAAACTGTTTTTAGTTTCCTCAGTTATTTTTCTATATTGGGTAAAAGGCTCTTTGCTATTATGGGTTTAGATATGCTCTGTGGTCTTCAAAAATGAATGTTTCATATAACTCATTACTGGAATTTTAATAAAAGTAAAATGACAATCAGAGGGACTAGAACAAAGACAATAACAAATACTACACCTCATCCATGATTGTCTTTTAATGTCATCCATACAGAGTTTTAAAAGCTTACTTGAAATATAGAAACACATTTGGCACAGGGAAAAAGGTATGGGTTAGGTGGTAGTTATAGGTCTATAACTAATTAGCTGTTAACTCTGAGCAAGTCACTTAACCACTCTGAATGTTGGTTTCCTTATTTGTAGAAATGAAGGCGAATAATTAGGTCAATGGCTTTCCAGCTGTGCACTGTTGAAAGTTGTGCACTGCAGTGGAGTGTGAGGTGTTCCCATTCCAAAACCCACATCAATCGGAAAAACTCTGTTTTTAGCCAATTTTCACATTGAAGCACTGAATACAATTTGATTATTAAAATGAGTCTCATGCTCAAGAATATTTGAAATCCACCAGAGTGGGTTTCCAATGTCTCATAACTTTTTGATACTATGAAAAATTATGAATTCAATATTTGAAAGATTTAGTTGAAACCCCACTGTACAGAAGACACTATGCTAAGTATTAGTAGATGAAGACTGTACCCAGTTAGTTTAAAATCTAACCTATAGCCTGTAGCCATGTTTGTAACCATAATTCAAAGAAAATGTATTTTTAAAGTTTATACCCAGTACATAAGCACAGATCTATAAAGGTCAGAGTAGGGAAGTTCTGGGAATGTGTGTACGTGTGTGTGTGTGTGTGTGTGTGTGTGTGTGTGTGTGTATTTACATATATATGTTACATATGAATAGATTTATACATAAATGCATTGTAGAATATGTGAATATATATTCATATGTAACAAAGATAACAAATATACAATATTATATGCAACAAATATATACACACAACATATTTGTATGTACCCTGGATGTAATAAATGATGAAAAATTGTGTTCACTAGATATGTGTCTAGTTAATGTGTGGAACTTTCATCTTATATTCTACTGAAACACAATGCTTTTATGCTATTAATGAGATTTGACACATGGGATCATAGTGTGCCAATCCCTGACATATTCAGTCACAAATAATTCTTATTAATTAATTCAAAGGTAAAAAACTGTTTTTCCAACAAAAACTGAAAGGTTTTTTTAAATTGTAAATATTACCAAAAATGATATTAAAATTCTCATCTTCAAGGTTTTATTTATGGAATTAAAACAGAAATGTGTTCTAATTTACCATATTATCAGTCTTTGTAAAGTGTAGTATTTAAACTGCTGCTATCATAATTCAATACATGAAATTGATTTTAAGTCATGAACTTCATCCTCACAAAAAATACTGGGTATCATTTCCATTGGACAAATCCCAATGAATAGTTGTCTAAGCATGTACTTTTAAATTAATAATTTGACTAATATTTGATATTTAAATGTTTTTACCATGACTGACTTAACAAGTTAGGTATATTTTGACATTGGGGAGCGAACGAGAATCCATGAACCAACTTAATTCAGAGTAATGATGAATTCAAGAGCTGTAGGTATCACAAACCACTAAGATGTGATTTACCTGAAGCTACAACCCAAGCTTGAATTCTCAACTCAGATAAAATGTCATTTGCGCATTTTATTCATTTTGTAAAACTTAATAACTGCCAATTCTTAAAAATATGGTATTGGCTCAAGTGGAAACATTCACTGTTATAAAATAACTTCTGAGTGTACAAATCGATTTTCTTAAAGGTGTCTCCTTCATGTATATGAGAGGCAATGTCGTTTTGTGGAAAAAAGTACTGAACAGGAAATAGCAGACTTGATTACCAATCCCAACACACTGTAAATCAACTAGCTCTAAACATATTAGTTGACTGGAACTCCTTAATTCATACTTCTATAATACAGGGACAATACTCCTGACATGTACTATGATTATAACTTTATTAATAACTGTGAAGCTTTGTAAATGATTAAGTACTACATAAATCTGACAGAGAGGTAATTTTGCTTTCAAAGCCAAGAAAGGCTTCAAACATTGATGCTTTTAAATTATGGGTTAAAATTTTTGTTTAATTTTTTTATTTTTGCAAGAGAGACAAGAGTCCTTTTAAAAATAATTATTCCATTATGTTTTTGGTCCTTCCCTTCTTTGTCATAGTTGGCTTCAGCCTGTTTAAGCTGCATGAGTAGTCATTTAAGAAAGTTCAACACTTTGAAATGTAAGTATAATGCAATTGGACTCTATATACATATTTTCATCAAAACATTTTACAGGGGTCTCAGCACTAAGTATGCGGAGATGGGACAAAAATCACAACAGGCAACTTTATTTTAGAATTTGATCCATAAATCAACAAAATAAACAAATAAAAGGAGCTGAGTCTCTATCATGTTAGTACACAAAATAAACCAAAAAAATACATCAACGTTTACCATGAGATCATTTAAATGTATTTGCAAATGACCTGATAAGGAAAACATGATTTACAACACGGGAAACTTCTTTTAACAACCATTGACTTAAACACACTGCACTGCAGGTCACCTAGACAAGGTTAGCAAGAATGAGCAAAGTGGTGGGTCCAAAAGGCAACCTCCAAACACCTTCCTCAGATGAAACTTTGGTAATTGTCTGTGGTTAAAAAAGCAAAACAAACAAACAAAATAAAACAAATCACCAATTCCTATTCTTAATCACGTTGGATGGTCATTTTGTCCATTCTTCTGCGATGAGTCCATTTTAAACACTTCAATTATTTTGAAGACACTCCAAATCCACAGAACAACAGACTCTTCCATTCTGTACATCAAAGAAATGCACGTTAGCCAGCTGAGACACAGGATATAAATTAATTAGCAGTCTGCAATTTTTAGACTCAAAATAACCTTCTGCATTTTGAGACAAACTTCAAGAAGGCTATAAAAAATGACTAGAAAATACTACTAGGAAAAAATATAGAGAAAGAGTAGAAAGGAAGGAAGGACCAATAGATCCTCCAGGGTACTGCTTGGCGGGATTCTGTTAGCAGTGCAGTTTCATGCACCACCTGCTCTCAGTCCCTGCTTGGGACACCTCCCTGGGATTTCACCTCTTCACATGACCTGTTTGCTGTACTTATTCCAAGTGAGATTTTTTTTCCAAAAATAAATCCCTAAAATATAGCAATTTGTAATTTAAGAAGCTATTTGAAAGTACCCCCAGCAATCTGCAGGGAAGTCCAAGATGGGTTCCAGTAAGGTTTGCATAAAGTCTTTCGTGGTGACTATGAAGGGGATAGTGCATAGTTAGGTACATAAATACTTTCACATTCATTAAAATTTAATTTCATATACTAACGTAAATATGCCTTTATAATTCCACTTAATGATCAAATAAAATAAATAACAGAGGTCTCCATGTCTCCTGGTCATTTAGTTCTCTGAGGCTGATGGTACAGATGGGACCATGAACTTTTTTCTGTATGAGGTCTAATATTACCATTTTTCTACTGGGGCTACATCTTAAGATGATACTTTCCAGGAAAAAGAAAAAAAAATCTACATTTATAACAGCATAAAGAAGCAAGTTGGGAACCTTCCACTGATGCTCGATGCTGAGCCAGGGTTTGATGGGACCAAGTAGACTCCTAGTTTTAACATGTTTAATCATGAGAATCTTAAACAGATGTTTTGACAGAGATTTGAAATTAACTAATGATTATTCCAAATCAGCTACCACTCCAGCTCTTCATGAACTTTTAAGGGAGAGAATGGTCAGTTTTTTAATCTCAATGATATATGAGGATGTCTCATGAAAACTCCTCCAAAAAGAAGGGAAATAATCACTGTTAATCAAATGCTATAGCAAGAGCCACAGGTCCCCAACTTAGGCAATCTGATGATTAAAAAAAGCAAACAACTTGAGAGGCGTTTTTTCCCTAACATTCACAATTTAATAAAAGAACTTGGAAACTTTTCCAGGATGAAAGGAAGTTGACTAGTTTCCTTCCTCCCTCCCTCCCTCCCTCCCTCCCTTTCTCCACCTTCCCTCTTTTCCTCCTTCCTGTTCTTCCTTCTTTTTTCTTTTTCCTTCCCTTCCCTCTTCTTTCCATTTCTTTTTATTTAACATACAGGTGAAAAGAGCCTAAATCAGCCATAATTCAGCCTAGAATCAACTGTCAAAATTCGGTACGTTAAAGGCAGGAGCATTATTTCCTTTCATGATTATTTTTACAGGGTGCAGCTATGATATATTCAGACACATTAAATTCCTATGAGAAGTAAATGTTTTCCAGTTTCCACCATGTCCTATTCCACCATGCATTCAGAAACATCAGGAGTGGACCTCCTGCAAGAGTTCTCTGGCAATTGTTCAAGGCTTCCATATCCTCAGAACATCCGATTACCTTGCATTTACAGGTAGTGCAGGGAGATCCAGCCATCGTCCACACTGAGCCACTAAGCCTTGAAATGCCGTAGCTGTCCAGGCAAGTTTTTCTGATGTCATAGGCGATGTTATCAGCTAGGCAGGGGTCACTGACACAGCGGGGACAACACTCTCCTTCTAAGATGGCTGTGTACTCACAGCTCAAGTTGGGGCAAGTGAGTGGCCAGCAATCTACCTCTCCTTCCTGCAGAGGAAAAGCCAAAAAAAAAAAAAAAGCCTCATTATTGTTCCTATGTATAATTTTATTCTGAAAGTTACAGAAGGGGAAAGAGAGCATAGTAATTCTTATCACTGTATGTTTCTAGTTGACACCATTATGGATATAGTACACTTCCTCCCTGAAGAACTACTGCGGGTCTCACTTCTTTCAGAATGCCTTTGCTGACCAGCTATACTGCAGTACACAGAAAGAGTTAGGTCAGCTTCTTTGTGTGCCAAGCATGGCCTATAATTATTTTAACTTGATACTTATAATCACATCATAATTATCAATACAATTCTATATTAATTTTTGAGCATTCAGGCTTTGGGCTTGTTCCTTTCTCTCCATCATGTTTAGCACAGTTTTGGTCAATAACAGCTAATAAATAAATGAATTACAAGATACTGGCTAGTATATAAAGAGCAATTTCCACGGACACAGGGAGGGGAACATCACACACAACATCTGAATGTCTTTAGGCAGAGAACATGCCCCTTAGCCACAGGCCTCACAGATCTACCTGTATAGTATTATGAAATATGGGAACTGTTTTGGGGTGGGGGCTAGGGGAGGGACATTAGGAGAAATACCTAATGTAGATGACAGGGTGACGGATGCAGCAAACCACCATGGCACGTGTATACCTATGTAATAAACCTGAACATTCTGCATATGTACCCAAGAACTTAAAGTATAATTTAAAAAAGTGATTTATTTACAGTAAGGTCAAAAACAGAACCTGAAGCACTGTAATAGTTCAACCAAATTTAAAGTTAAGATTGAGTCATGTCAGGAGAACCATTTCAGAATGGTTTTGAATGTCGCATGTGATTAGAGATGGCACGTTGGGGGGCCAGGTTTAGATTCTAGGCCTCTATGATTAAATCTGTCATATTTATACTATATTTTGTTACCTCTTATATTGAAATTTTTAAGGGTTATGGCATAAAAAATGAAAGATTTAGCTCTGTCAGGACTACAAGTACTAGTCAAGGTTCTGAAAGCTTCCTTTCTTGCAGAGATTTTTCCTGATCTTGATTTCTTATTAGTAGTAGCTATAAACTGTCATTTTTTGGGACAAATCTGTACTTTTTACTTTGTATAGTGTTTCAAATATAATCTGAATGTCTTTAGGCAGAGAACATGCCCCTTAGCCACAGGCCTCACAGATCTACCTGTATAGTATTATGAAATATGGGAAACTAGATCCCACAGACAACTGAATGCGTAACCTCTTTCAGAGTAAAGAAAAGGCTCAACACCCTATAAAGGAAGCCAACATACCAGGCACCGACACTGCTGACAGCTATGGGTCCAATTGTCTCCACTTCGATACAGCTTGTGACCATTTTGGTCTAAACATTGACTTGTGACCCTGGTGTCACATTCTGGGCAACAGAAAAGGTCAGCATTTGGATTCTGGCAATCACAAGCTGTCCGTCGGCAGAATATCTTGCCATCCTGTTTAGAAATAAAGTAAAGGAGGTTTCATCATTTAGGACATGATGGACAGCTACACTATGAAAACCAAACTTCTTGTCTTAGTCATCCCCGGCCACCTCTCATTCTGTTCAAAATCGAAGCACGCATGTGTGCCCACACAAACAAATCCTTTCTTTCCCTGACTTTGCCTGCAGAGCAGAAAAAATAAAAATAGAAACATTTCTAAGTTTAACAAAAAGTCAAAATGTTTTTTGAAAATATTTTTCAAAAGGGTTCTTAAAAATCATATTTCTGGCCAACAAGGTGGCTCACGCCTGTAATCCCAACACTTTGAGAGGCTAAGGTAGATGGATCATGAAGTCAGGAGATCAAGACCATTCTAGCTAACATGGTGAAACCCTGTCTCTACTAAAAATACAAAAAATTAGTCAGGCGTGATGGCACATGCCTGTAGTCCCAGCTATTCGGGAGGCTGAGGCAAAAGAATCGCTTGAACCCAGGAGGCAGAGCTGCAATGAGCAGAGATAGTGCCACTGCACTCCAGCCTAGGTGACACAGAGAGACTGTCTCAAAAAAAAAATCATATTTCTAAGTAAGAACTATAAGCAAACTAAGCAGCTAAAAATGCATATATGATCAATAAGTCATTTGAGTGGGAAATCATGCTCCTGTATTTCCATGATACCACTTAACATATTGAAATGCATTCGTCTAATTATACTCCTGTCCCAACTGTGAAAGGAAGTCTGATTATACACTTTATACAGAAGAATTAACTTAGACCCAGTAAGGCTAAGCCACTTATCCAAGATGAGATAAGTAGGTAGTGGTTTTCTAAGCAGCACCACCAATTATTATGGTTTCAAAATATTTTTCTTCTGCAAGATCACCTTAAGGTTGTGTATTACAGGGGGTTATAATCAGGTGCCTCCTTCGACCTTATGGAAGTTTTCCATATTGTAAGCACAGTACAGTTTTTGGAGTATTGGCTCTGAGGACTCATAGTTATAAAAAACTGAAAATCAACAGCACTTAAGCAGTAAGACTAAACATTTTGCAGCATGTCTTTGTTTTAATATGTCTATTGCTTATAGCAATTTATTAAACAATGTTCTTCATTGCTGAAAATGTAAGGTAAGAACTGTCATCACCCTTCATGGTCATAACTAATTTGTTGAATAGTTTTAAAAACCATAGAGTCTCAGGGCTGGACGGTACCTTAAAGAACATATAACCAAATCTCCTGACCTACAGTTGAATCCTCTTTATAGCAACCACATACAAAAGTGTTCAAGTATGTGCTTGAGGCTCTTCAGTCTTGAATTCACCACTATGGAGAGAATTCAGTGTGCATCTCTATACATGTCATAATGTAAAACTCAGACTTCTCATGACTTCTATCTATTGATCTGAATTCATACTTTTGGTAATAATAGAACTCCCAACATTTTCTGTCATATTTCAATTCTTAAGTTTTTAGAAGACAGTTCTTAAGTATTCACTGAGATGTTTCATCTCTAGGTAAACATCTCTAATTTCTTAACCATTCCCCATTGTTATAATCCTTTCACTGTCACAGTTGCCTTATCTTTCAAAAGCTTTATTTAACATAATCAACATAATCATCATCCACCATAAATTGAATACTTACATTCTGTTACTCATTGTGCAGAGACATTTATATATATATGATCACATTTAATCCTGATAATTTGTGGAATATCAATGTATATCATTATTTCTCAAATGAGGTAGCTGAGAGTTAGAGAACTAAATATAATTATTCAGTAATGGTCTTTGAAGAAACAGCGATTGAGTCTCACGGTCACTTTGTATTAAGCACTGTATTTTCTTTAATGCAAGCTTTTTTCAATGAAGTCATGTGCCACACAATGAAATTTTGGTCACTGTCATACTACACATACAAAGGTGGTCCTTTAGAATTTTAATGAAGCTGAAAAATTCCTGTCACCTAGTGACATTGCAGCCGTTATGTAGCACAATATATTATTCATGCATGTGTTTGTAATAATGCCTGTGTAACAAGCCTACTGAGCTGCCAGCTGTATAAAAATATAGCACCTACAGTCATTTATAGTACATACTTCTTGGTAATGACAATAAATGGCTGGGTTACTGGTTTATGTATTTAGTATACTATCCTTTTTAATCATTATTTTAAAATACATTCTTTCTGCTTGTAAAAAAAAAAAAAAAAAAAAAAAAAAAGGAGAGATAACTAAAATGGCTGCAGGCAGGTCCTCAGGAGGTATTCCAGAAGAAGGCATTGTTATCATACGAGATGACAGCTCTGTGCATGTTATTGTCCCTGAAGACCTTCCAGTGGGATAAGACATGGAGGAAGATATGCAGGTGAAAAACAGTGATAATCATGATCCTGACCCTGTGGAGACTTAGGTTAAGGTGTGTGTTTTTGTCCTGGTTGAAAAAAAAATTAATAAATTTTTAAAAATTAAAAATTGAAAAAGCTTTTAGAATAAGAGTATGAAAATATTGTACAGCTGTGTAATGTGTTTGTGTTTTAAACTGTTATTAGAAAAGAGTCCAAAAGTTACAAAAATTAAAAAGCTTATGAAGTAAAATAGTTATAATAAGCTAAGGCTAATTTGTTATTGGAGAAAAAACTTCTTTTTCTGAATTGAGTGTAGCCCAAGTATACAATGTTCATAAAGTATACAGAAGTGTACAATAATGTCCTAGGCCTTTACATGCATCCAACATTCACTCGCTGACTCATCTACAGCAACTTCTAGTCCTGTAAGTGCCATTCATGGCAAGTCTTCTATACAGGTGTACCTTTTTTGTGTGTGTCTTTCATATGTATTTGTACTGTACCTTTTCTATGTTTAGCTATACAAATATTTACATATTATTTGTTAATATGTAACATATTATTATAAAATGTTATGAATGCCTACAATATTCAGTATAGTATCATGATATACAGGTCTATAGCCTAGAAGCAATAGACTATATCATATAGCCTAGGTGTGTTGTAAGCTATGCCATCTAGGTTTGTTTAAATACACTCTATGATGTTGACACAATGATGAAAAAGCCGAATGACTTATTTCTTTATCCTTGTCATTAAGTGATGCATTACTGTATTTACTTTCTTTAGTTATGCCATAGTGTTGGCTTATACTGAGCTTAATCAAGATGAAAACCTCCTTAAGCCCTATCCCATCTTGTGCAGTTGTCTGTTTAGGGGCAGCAAGTATATAACTTGATGTTTATCTCTGTTGCATTTCACGTTGTTAGATCCATTTCATCTCTTCTGCCTGTCACAATGTTTTGTAAATGCTATTTCTGTCATCTACCATAGATCACCCGCCTTCACAGCTTAGTGACATCTGAAAACTTGATGGACTTGCCCTCAGGGTCTTTATCTACTTCATCCATAACAACGCTGAATAATCAGACAGGGCTTGCTGAGATGCTTAGTGTCTGCTAAAGTGGAAACCTTAAAAGCTTTATATTCTTTAAGAAGAATGGAAAGGAAGCATGCTGGCTACAATATAATAACAGGTTGAAAATGCATTGTGTGCATTGGCTCTTTTACTATAAAAATAACAAGAAATCGTGGTGTTTCAAAAATATCAAGAGATGAAAGCTTACACACACACATGTACATTTACATGTGTAGGCAAACGTGTGTGTATATAGAGAAAGCAAGAGACTAGATTTCAGCAACTGAATGGAATCAGAGAACTCAGCTAATCAGAGCAAGGAAGTGTTCTGATTCTAGGAATTTCCCAACAATTGGCCTTTGGCTTACAGCTCATATACCATTATTTTAACTCACCAATATATTTTGTTTGTGTCGTCATGGCCCCAAATGACTCCCTGAAGACTTATTTTAACCACCAAAAATTAAGCAGAGTAATGATAGCTACAACATGAAACCATTTGATCAGCTCAGCTTCCAATGGCACACTGTCACTCTTCTCAAGCATAGAAGGATCATACCTCGGGAACCAGCATGGCTGTGTCTGTGGCTGGTATCAAACAAAGGGATAAATTCTTACTGCACAAGAGGCTACGACACCCAATAAGAATGTCAGTTTTCTTCCCACGTGCCGATTAAAAGAATGAGTAAGAATAAATGGATAGCCTCCAGGGTTTGTGCAAAATAAAGCAATTTCACAACTCATCAATTATGTGAAAATGCCAAATAGGCCCCTCTTAGCTTCTCACGTGTTTCAGAACAATGGCTATGTTCACTTTGCCTTTGAATTACAGGTGACTGTGAAGAAAATCATTTTTAATAATGAAAATGTCACAGGTGGCTCCATTAATACAATGAGAATGCCATTATAAAACCTCAGCTCACAGAGCACAACCACACTAGAAACTACATTTGGGAAGAGTATGGAGCCCACTGACAACAAGCATCCTTTTTGACATAGATCTTTGAGGCTGTTCCCAGAGCTTGACCTCTATGCCAACCTGGGTGGTTTGAACATTCCCTACTTATATGTCAAAGATATATTTTCCCAATCTGCCACAAAAGCTGTTTATATGCAATTTTATACTACAAGTTCAATGACAAGCAATTAATAACTATTGTAATACTTAATCGCTTCTGAATTTTAAAAAGTGACATAATTTTTTCCTATCAAATAAATAATACATTGTTTCTTATTATGTCATGGAAAATTATAGATGTTTTTGCTATTAATTACAGATTTTAATATGGAATAGTCAACACACTGATATATTTACTCCAGATTATGTAATATCACTCTTGTTTTTTTCTGCCATAGTGTTTTGTAATTTTCAAATAAAAAAAGTGGACATAGGTCAGATTATTTCTATAAATCAAATAGGTCAGATTATTTCTGTAAATCAAATAGTAATATAAACTTTGGGTTGGAAAACTGATGACCACAGTCCAAACTCAACCTGATGCCTGCTTTTGTAAATGAAGTGTTATTAGAACACAAGCTCCCTTGTTCATTTATATTTTGTCTGTGGATTTTTTCACACTGCAATGG